ATGGAACTGCCTCTTCAGTGCTTGTACTGTGGCGGGATTCAGAAGTCTCGACATGGACAGGTGGGAGGTGGCGAAGTTTTACGTCGGTTGATGAGCGTTTTGGAGGCAGGGGCGGTGCAGAAGTATCTGCGAGTGGTGCATGTTGATGAGGAGGTGATGGCAGCACAGGGGGAGGGGGATGCTGCTCAGTGTCACTACAGCTCTCTTCATGGATGTTAATAGGAGCTGCGTGAACAAGAAGCTCTGGTGCTGGAGTTGAGCCATATGCACTTTCCCAGGCAGAGTTGGCTGCAGCACAGTCTTTCCCACGCGAATTAGAACGTGACACATGTGGTGTTGAGTCGTCATCTGAGAGTGTGCTAGAGTCATAAGATCGATCAGCATCATCCAAGGAGGTGGCTGCAATGTGCGGTGTAGAGCGCGAACGGGACCAGTCCTCTGGAACCGGAGTAATTCGTAATGCTTTGTGATGTCCTGAGCCCAAATCAGATGTCTCTAATGAGGTTCTTGATGTCTCGTGAGGCAGGTAAGCATGTGTAGGTGTTTCAGGTTCACACAGGAGATGAGCTGATTTTGATCTTAACATTGGGGTTCCTGGATAGCATGAGTAAGTAGTCTCTTGTGGCTCTGGAGGGGGTGAATTTGGTATGGGAGGAGGTGGGGGTGGTGCCCGTCCCTTGCGGTGTAATGCAGGTCTTTTGAGCAATCCTGTCACATTGTGTTCGTCATAAGTGCTATGTTCAGTGACCGTGTCATTTAACAGAGATTCATCTGATGCACTCCTCCTCATGCCAGGTCCTGGGCTACGATACGCATGCCTGTGCAACCCACCCACTCCTGAGGAAGCACTCCCACTGCTGGAACCAGATGTGGTGTGAGAAATAGATTTTCCACTCCCCCCACCCCCACTGCCACCACTGTTGAGCCTCTTGAGGTGTGAGCGTTGACGGAACCAATCCTGACGCTGGAAGTTTGGGTTGATGATTCCTGTCTGGTTGGATCCCAATTGGCGAGCACAGATAGAGTCTTCAGACCAGGGGGAACGGCTACAGCACTCCTGAACACGTTCTTCCCACCCACCATACACACGCACGTATTCCCGAGCTGGTGCACTGCCAATTACAGGCAGAGGTTCTGGCACTGATCGAGAAGTTGGTGTGGAGGTGGCTGCAGGAACTGAGTAAGAGGATGTGACCTTAAACCACAAAATAAATTATATTAGGGCATGTAATGTTGAGGATAAACTGCTGTGACAGATATTTATACCGAGCACAGCCAAATTAATGGAGGAAAAATTACATTACTTGTACTCTAATCCTTTGATGAGGATGGACATACCAGTATGATGAATGTCATAGTGCTGTTTAATGTGTTTTACACTTTCTGTCATGTAGAGTGTGCACATACAAGCAAAACACAAAAGAACTTAAGCTGGAAAAGCTTGTGGGAAGAGACACAGGATATGAAGTTATGGAAGAGTTTCACAAAAGGATCCAATGCTGGACATCTTTGAACATGGTTATGAATCTTAGCAACATCAGTTTGAATGCCCAAGTTGCTATCAGCTGCTCCTATACCATACTGGGATACTGGGAGCTTCAGCTTCAAAGGATTAAATATGGTACTGGATTTACAATATTGACCAGTATAACCAACACAATTTTATCTTCTAAACCACGCATTAGAGGGGGAGAAGAAAATACTGCCAATCACAGCAGTGCACATTATTCCCCCATCTGTTAGCTTATCACTATCATGACCATGAAGACATACACAAATGAGAACAATTAATTTCTTACTATGGTTACTTCCGGTTAACATAAAACAGATTCAAATACTCGAGTGCTGGCACAGTCAAATGCTTCCAGTGATGGAAAACACATCAATTTGTGCACCCAAACCCCAAAAGGAACTCACCTTGGTGTGCGTATGAATGTCATAGCAACTGGGCTGCTGGGTGGGAGGGTACAAGGCTCGTCCTGAGCCCGAACTTGTCGACCCGCTCTCTTCTTCGTCTGGAGTGTATAACTGAGAGTCAGACATTGTGAGACCTGAATCTCTACTCAGCGACATCTTATCTTTCCGTGGCGGTGGACAAGGTTCCAGCAACTCTCTTTCCAGGCTATCGATTGACGAGTCATCTCGCCTCAGTCCGCCTGCTGTTCACATGAAGACAATGACAACATAGCATGCTGTTATGGCAATGCAAATGTAAAGCTGCAAGCAATTTTTATTTAAGCTACCATTTTATATTGCACAGTAAAACGCTAATTATGTTACTAATATAACTGTTATAGTCAATTTAATAGTTTTGCAAGCAGATATATTATTTTTAGATGCACTTTTCCTCTGAACATTTTTTTTTTTAATCTTTGGCATGTTACATTCAAATATATATTGTTTCTTTATATCTACAACCTGAAATCACATCAGTTATCAAAATGCAACTTGCTAACGTTTCAGTCTTAATCATAATCAGTCGATGCCACATGAAATCTTCAATTAAGTTCCATTTTACAGCAATCGACATGAGCAACCCTCAACTATAATATGAGCTACAGAAATCTGCCATAATATACAGGCGAGAGTAAGCTAAACTGAAGGCAGAGGACAGGGGTGTGAATCTGTTTTCTAGCACGGGACTTTGCTGTTTATAAACAGGGAGGGGCACACCCACCACATTTGCCGTAGTCTTTCTCTAGTCTCCAAACTGGAAACATCATTAAACATTAAACAGCCACGTGTCAAGGATGACTTAATGGTACCTGCACCTTGTCATGACTATGTAGCAACTACAGCGATGGAAAAGTAGAAAAAGTAGAATAGTGGGAACTCTTCTATTTTGGTGTTCTTCACCACAGGGGTATAAATTTAACATAACATCTTTTGCCTTTTCAAAAAGCTGTGTCTTATTCATGGGAATGTGATATTCAAATAAAAACAGCATTATTTGCTGGGACTGAATTCATAATTTCAACTGAATGAACACCAAGACTCACAGTGCAGGCTGTCTGACTCTTCAGCACCAGAGTCCTGTCGGGTTGGGTCCCTCTCTGGTAGGTCGCCCAGCAGCAGAGGGACGTGCGGACCAAGCAAGAGCTCACAGCGGACTATAAGGAGCTCCACGAGATTGGGGACAGCCCGTGAACTGGCAGGGGTAGGAGTATGAGCCCACAAGAGACTTGGCCCAACACAGACACCCAAGTTAGTAGCAGACATGAGATTGTGTGAGGCTCGACGAGCGATGTGGTGCAGAACGCAGAGAAAGTGACTCAGTAGTATTATGCTGGATCGAGGCAGTTGCTCAAGCACGCTGAAACAAGAAATACTTTTTATATTTTTTCATACAGAACAAAGCAGCTTTACATTTTGCCTGAGGTCACTAGGTCTAGCACAAAAGCCGGACGCTCTTTCTAGTCCACCGTCTGCATTTTATAAGAAAATACAGACCATATTGCCACACATTATTAAATAAAAAGAAAAAAGAAACTAGTGGTATGATATAATGTCTAACAGTACGTGTTCTTCTGTCTGAAGTATACCTTTTAACCCTAATCAACTTCTCTTGTTCATCTCTGCACTCTAGAGCCTCCATATACAGTGGATAGAGGGCAGCACCAAGCAGAGGATCCGGCAAAGAACGAAGAAACTCCTTGAGCAGTGCAGCAACAGCCAAAACGGGAATGTGGTCGAACGCCAGCTCCAGTCCACTGTCCAGACGTTCTCTCAGTTCCCTCACTAGTCGTGCATTCGCCGATTTTCGGAAGATGCCTTGTGTGAAGGGACCCTTAGTGAATACCTGCTGTAGCATACCCTGTGAACAATGTTGGAATCTTGAGTTTATTATTGGTGATAAGATAATTCAGTCAGAACTGTCAGGCACTATTGCGCCACACAAGTTTGAAAGCCTTTACTAGTTTCTTCAGTTTTAACCTCTACAGTTTTATGCAGCAACTTTTAAAAACAGGTACTATGAATAATATGAAGATTGCAACACATCTAAATTACATTTTCTTGAACTTGGAGTTCAGGTTAAAATACCTACATATTATAATAAGAGAATAAGGTGCAGTAAACCTTATTTCAACAACCGAAAGCAGAATGAGTTTCACTCCGTGTCAGATATTGCCAATACAGCTTCATCAGAACTTTTTATTAAACCATTAAAATATTATCATCTATGCTACTTCGACCTGCTTTTGGGCCATGACCTCCCCACTTAGGAGGATTCTTGGTCTTTTGAAGAGTGCATTTGTGAGTAGTGAGTGACCAGCCCACTGACTTCACATTTTCTACTCAATCCTGACTTGTCTGCTAGAACCATCTAGTAATGAATCAGGAGAGACTTGAGTGAGAAATGGCAGCTGAATTTTGCTTACAAACATCTCGTATCATTCTCGCAAGGTTCATTTGCATGCCATAAATCTAGGACATGGGACTGCCGGCATCACTTCCTCTCCAAAGGCATTTGCGCTACCAATTTTTATCACCCTTAAAAATCCATCAACCTTGCCCAGGTCTGAACCCACAAACCTTGGAACCAGTGGCAAGCACGCTAACCACTAGTCCACCGAGGGCGACAAAATTTATTAACTGATTTAAATTTAAATACAACACCTTCCAATCAAGGCAAGGGAGGGATCATATTCCATACCAACACTTTCATCACAAAGTGGTTCAAAGAACCATGTGAACAAAGTTAATAGTGAATGAAAGAGTATAATTAATGGATTCAGTAATGTCAGATCCCATGACAAATTAAGACACAATCATTTTCCCAAAGCAATGCTTGTTACAAAGATGCCTATGGCAATTTCATCAGCTTGTTCCCATCGGAGCTCTGTGCAACAGAATAAAGAAGTTTATATCACATTTATACATTATAAAATCACAAGCCAATATTTGCAGTTCAACACCGAACATACCATGACTGGTCGAGGGATTGTATCCGGGTCTCCGAGCCTGCCGAGTGGAATGCCAAAGAGAGCCCCAGTAGCTGCTGGAGACGGAGGATTGGGACAGTCCGTACAGTCGTCACCTTTACTGGTGCTTCGCCTGAACACCTGGCGAATTCTCATCGGTGACTTTCGACTCTTCTTAGTGCTGTTAGTCAGGCCTGATGGCTTCTTTGAGTCAGCACTGCATTCACTTGTTTTTCTTTTGCTCCTGTGAAGAATCAGATGTTTTAAAATGCTCTATTTATCATTTCCAAATAGCTCTCCTCTGCAATACCTTCTTCTTCTTCTTCTTCAACTTAACGGTTTAGACCTGCGGTCTGTTCCGACTTCAAGGGTTGTTTTCTGTATGCAATACCCTTGTAACAAATCAATTTTTAATAAAATTAGTTTAATTTTCTGTATAGAAAAGAGCAAAACCCAGAAAGACCTTGTAAGATTACCCAAATATGAAATTTGCTACTCAATTTGGTCCGTAAACAAAGAATTAATGAGTTTATTTTTAAGCTGATCCTCTGACATGACAGATTTCTAACAAAATTAATATAAATGTTAGTTTCAAATTTGCTTAAGGTTGATGCAAAAAGTAACAATGCTATGTGCCATGTACCACGACCTTGAAATTGCCATTTCTCTAACCAGAATAAAAAGAATTTGACACTAGAAAAATTTCAGACATGTTACTAAATTCTGTCCACTGGAATTTCTCCAGTATATAAATCTGTCCAGGATACAAACTTACTTGCAAAAGATAAGCTGCCTTACCTGAGGATGAACTGGCACTTGGCTAGAGGGTCCGGTCCATGTACATTATTGCAGTGATCCAAGTCAAAGCCTTCTTCAGTGCTAAGCCCATCACGCAGGCAACTCAGCTTGATGGCAAAAGGTCGCTCATGGCCGATGAGTGGATAGGGCGCCTCCTCACGCGCAGTCTTGGCCCACAGCTGGAAGTCATCCGGGTCCAAACCCCGCATCTCCAAATGCTCTAGAGCCAGTCTTATACAGGTTTGAGCTGTCTCGTCAGGACCCACGCTGAATGTCTTGCACTGGGGACAAAGTAAAGTTTTGCGTTCACCTCTGAACAACAGTGTCTAATCTATGTTCTATCTCTTGACTACCGAGACTTTTATTCCATGTTAAAGTGGCAGTAGTGTGAACTGAACCTAACCTAATCTAGCCTAACCTACAGCTCAACAGCTGAAATACGTCGTTATATAACTTCGTGGCAAGGAGGTAATTTATGTCTTTTATAAAACTGTAACTTTTAAGTGCATTCAGATCAATGTGTGTGTCTGCCGGGAGTTTTACTAAAATTTTGTTTCACTTTCCAGTTTTGTCGAAAAGCGAATAAACTGGGCACTTCACAAGAATACTTGCATGTGTTTCTTCACTTTGAAGTGATGGGGTGAGAACCACCAACGGGGCCATTCAAACCTGTGATTATGAACTGCAGATAATAGTAACAAAACATTGAAAAATACGTTTTGGGGAGTGGAGGTGACTCAGAGGAAATACACTGTAACAAAGTGGTGATAAGATCTTCCTAATTCCAAAATACCTGTTTACTAAATCCAAGACATTTTAATTCTACTGCCAACACTTTACTTCAGAACGTCCTGTTGTCTCAGAAACACATTTCAAGGCGTGTCCATCAGTGGGCTTTACATTTAGGCCCAATGATGCCATCCTCCCACTTGTGCAGTGACGCTCAAAATCGTCCTAATGTTTCCGAGAAACCACGCGAAGGAATTTCACCAGAAGAGTCACATTCTTTTCGTGATCTTGATGGCCCTGTCACTCGCTGACGTAGTCTGGACGTCTAATAATTGTGGTGCCTGTCAGACGCGACAAGTATCAAATCACGGATTCACTGCAGAAATTGAGAAAATGTACTTTGTGAACTTTACGGACGATGCATGCCACTTAGAGTTCGGTCTAACTGCGGTAAGTAACGAAACGCTGTGGGAAGGCATTAGACATATCTAGAAATCATTTTGCCAACAATTAACTATCCTGTTCACAAGAGCCCGCCACTAATCCCCATTCTATCTAGTCCGCACCTGATTTAACAGCCATTTTAATATTATCCTCCCATCTATGAGTAGGTCTTTTGAGATTCGATGTGACATTCTTCAAATTTTCCAATCACAAATCTGCAGGCCTCATGTTTGTGTCATCTTTCGCTCAGGTACGGCCTGCTACATGCCCCGCAAATCTTAACACACAACATCATTGAACAATCCGACTTCAAGATAAGACAGGTGCATTTTGGAAATCAATACGTAATGAATAACTAATTAATTGCGGTCTTCTGGGATGTAACCCAGTGTGGACTAACAACGTTTCGGATGAACATACAGTGTCCATCACCAAAGACCAATATCGACGTCTTTGCTATCGACAGAAGCTCAAATCGATTCCTAAGTTCTGCGGCGAACAATCGAAATATTTCGTGAGCCGTTCAGAACACTGGCAAGTGGAGAGGGTTCCCAACACTCACGTATTCGATGCTAGTGGCGCTGTCGTAGTACAGCAGCTGGATGTTCGTGGCCCGAGGCTCCTTGTCGCGTTCACAGTCCATCACTTCGTTCAGCTTGTTCCACCACAGATCGCGCGCTGCTTGAGTGCTGCAAGGCAAACCAATCCTCAGACAAACAGAATTTACAAACTACCTGTTCCCATTAGGCTACTTCTCATCTAGGACGTTGCGTCGTGGTGTCTGGTAGAAATTGACCGACTTTTTGAAGAACGTACTGCCTACACCATCGCCCGGATGATGGAGACAGTTAAAACCTCTGAAATGTCAATAATTTCTACCTCACAGCACGGTTAAACTTCCAGAAGACAAGACATATTTATATTACTCGCCGTGACAAAGTGAAATCTTACCTGCTCCTTCAGAACGAACTCCAAATTGTCGCCGTCGGCTGAGGGTACAACATGTGATCACGTTTCACTTGAAACCCTTTCTGTAAGCTTACCATAGCAATTTGCCACACAATACCAAAGTCAGCTCGGACCCTCCACTCCCAGGAACAAGGAACGGCTGGCAAAACGTATCGTAGAAACTCGATGAGGTGTTATTCAGCACAGAAATGACAAAGGACTCCAAACGAAACGACGTTTGTACGGAGCGTTCAATCCAAAAACAGAATGACTCCCAACGAATCGAATATGTTACATGCCCAAATTTTAACGCAGACTACATAAGCGAGCTTCATTATAAATGTCACTACAGATTGCCATGACAACAATGAACAATAAACAGCAATTGAGATTTCAGAGAATTTGCTTTCAAACAGAGTTCCATTCAAAACCAACATCTAAAGTTTCTGATCCGAGACCTGAGGTTCTCGTGGCGGTAAGATGTCACTGTTGGTCTTAGACGTTGTAATACCGCGAAGACTTGCTGGTAGATACCAATATTTTACCCCAAAGATGAAGCCAGCATGTTCCTCTAAAATTTTTTCATCTCCTACAATTTCAAAGAGTGTTACAAGCCACAAGACCAACATCGGCGTCTTTAAAATGTTCATGTGTCCAAGCAACACTTCTGGCTCAGGATAAGAAGCGGTAGCTGGATTTTGTGCACACGGCAATGAACCTACTGGTACCATAAAATGCGGGAAATTTCGGCCAGTCAGTGGCAGAAGTAATTTGATTCCTAAAGTGGTAGACAGCTTTCGGTTCGTGTCTGTCCCCTTTTTAAAAAGCAAATTCTGATGTTCACTTTTTAAATTTTGATTTAAGCAGAAGTAATAATGCTCACTGAAGCCATAAACCAACTAAGTCCCGTAGGGAAGATATTTAGAAGAAATCAGCCCGTTACGATGTCGTGTGAAATTCTGCTCTTGTATTTTAGCGCCTCGGTAAAACTGCCCCACTCTTCTCAGACAACAACAAAAGTTCCAACACCAAACAGCATGAGTTTGGCAAAACTGCTGTGAAACCAGAGTTGCTTAAGTTAAAGGCGACAGCCGTCGATGGCCCCTCAGCTGTGCGGGAAGGCCATCGGCCCCACAGGCAAACCAGACAAAGAGAGATAACAGCAATTACACGAGATAGAGGACGCGTAGCTCATGTCAATCCACCCACCCTTTAAAACCTCTTATCTATAGGTCACGTTATCATTGACCGATATTTAGACCAACAGGGCCGAACAAACAAAAACAATCTTGGGTAGTTTTCATTTGTTTACCGCTTAGTCTAGCATCATATTGTTTTCTGAGTCTTTAAATGATATACTTTCGAACATGAACTATTCTTACTTCAGACAGAAACTGCCATGTGATGACCGCCGTCTTCCACCGACAAATGGCAATGTCCTCATCTCATCTAGACCCCGACGGTTGTCCGACAAAGGTGGAGTGATGGGCCGGGCATCAAATCCAGACTGATTCCACCTCTCATGATTAACGTTTACCGAAGTTTCATCCAACGAATATCGACGCCTTGTCCTTTCTTTGACCTTACGCTTGCGCGAACAACAACCAGTATCATCGTCTCCGTCTCCATAGTACACATACGATCGAGCGAGCGATACCGAAACGTCGGCATTACCGCATAATACAGTGATCATGAGGCACTTCAATATCACGACACAGCGACACATTTCAATTAAGAAAATACAATTACAGCAACACTAAAAATGTTAGAACTGCTTTCTTTCATCTAAGATACTCTGAACACACGAAATTCAACTCTCAAATATTCATAGAAATACGTCACACGCTCACACAAACTTCAGTTGATTCGTAGAATCTTTCAGAGACAATGAACAGACGACAAATATTAAAAACAGGTACGTCCTAAAGAATGTAAAAGTGTACGCACTGTCTATTCCCGTTCAAAATATTTCCTTCTACGTGGACAAGACGACAGTTTTTAAACAGATATCAATCACCTTGAAGAATTTATTTGAATTCTTAATGCCCGATCACAGCAACGAATACGCGAGCGTCTAGTCTAATCTAGGAACGCAAGTCTGGATCGCCCTACACTCCGAGATGGCGCACACCGCACTGATGCACAGCAGAAGGCAGTACTTGGCTCTACTGTATGTATATTTATTTATAAACTGAGCAACCCCTGTTCTACCCCATCCACCGCTGTACTAGTACCTGTTGCCAAACAAAAGGGAAAGGCTTTGTAGAGGAAGAGAGGTCAACTTAATCCGTCATTGCGGTGTGACAAACCCGTGACTGGCTCGTCACAAGGCTGACAGACACTTTCTGAATATTCTTTAGCAAATTCAAAGCAGAGTCTTTGACATGGCACTCACATGGGGTTCAGCGCCCTCCACCTGAAATGATGGGGTTCATAAAAATAATACAAATCTCCGGAAAAACAAAGGATGGCTGTCTTCTGAGTTGTCGCGTCATGCAATATGTTAGAAGCTTCTGATCCCTCCATTATCACGGCACCCTGACGTGGCTCAGATACACGAATGTGTATGATGACAGCCTATGCTTCCTTATCCTCTGGTTATGGTGGCCCACACGTGGCTCGCGCGCCCAAATAGGACAGTCATTCGTCCCGAATTTGAAAACGTATTAGCCACGGGAAAAAAAAATACTAGAAGCTGTAGGCTAGCAGCAGCGTGTCTGCGTATGTTAGGAAAGTAAAGTTTGTCTGGAAGAGACGAGTCGTATAACTGCAGGCTCCGGTCAACAAACAAACCCCTGTATGAGGTCACTGACCTGCAGCAAGTTCACTGGCTTGCAGATATATTTAACAGTTCCTACTTATGCACTGTAACGGGAGTGTCACACAACCTTCATTTTCTATTCCTAGAACAATAAATCTACAGTCAAAATGTGGACCCTTCTTTTAAAAGTACCTGCAGATGCGAAAAAGAAGATTAGGAAAGTCCTGCACAGAACAAGGGTCCTGGAACTACTTAGAAGGGTTCATAACGGCATGTAAGGTGCAGGGTACCTGAAAGTGTCCATTTTGTAAGGCAAAGGAGTTGCCAGGTTGCTTTAGCACCACGCCATGAAGACGTTTGGGAGGTAACCTTTGCACTAGATGGAGATGCGCTGTCAGCTTCTGGCTCCGGCCGCGCTACCCCAAACTTTCACAGGATAAGATCCTGGGTGAACCACACAGTGACAGCTGAAAGAAAATTCCCTGCCCCTGAAGGGAGTCGAAGTCGTCGTCAAAAATATAGCCGCTTATTTACCGATTATGAAATTAATGAAATGTATACAAGGATAATTATTGATTATGGCTGTTTGTATGTTATACGTCTGGCCAAGTTCTCAGTAACGAGGCAGGCAGAATATTTGATTTTAGAAGTTCGCAAGTGCTGTTGCCATTAGGCAGCTTTTAAAAGTACTTATAAGGTATATACGCTCTGAAAGGGGCAAATGGAATTAAGAAAATGGGCAAGAGATGAACGCATGAAGGGAATTATTTCCCGCTTAATGGAAATCGACACTTTTTCGCTGTTAACTGTATCGGAACTTACTCGCTCCATCATCCAGAATATTTCCAATGGACTTTTCTTCGGCGCAACTCCTGGCATTCAGCTACCTCACCAGGGATCTAGCATCCCCATTAGCCATTTGTGGTAAGGTAAAGTAAAGTTTGTCCCGCTATACGCCATGTAGGCGTTTGGGGTGAGAGGAGGTATAGCTCCTGTCTTCCTTGACCTCGGCACTAGATGGGGGTGAGTGGTAAAAAGTACTTGCAGTATCTCGTTTAGATTAATTAAATCAATGAAGGAGAGTCCTTTCACAGAAGCTGATGGTCGCTTAAGCGGTTATTTTATTTACATACATTTTAATATTATCCTGTGATGTAAGCTTATGCCTGTCAAACGGTTTCTCCCTTTCAGGTTATGCAACCAAATGTCTTCACAGTTTTCACTTGTACCATACGTAAAACAGTGGTCGGGACCAAACCGTGGCTTCCGCCCACATCACCATCTTGCAGGTGGAAGGAAAAAAACACATAAAATGGCCATACAGTAACTCCAAGCCCGGTTGGCCATTACAATTACACATGTTGGAAGCATGGACAGTGTTTGCTTTCTTACCTGCCACCCCTCCCTTCCATATGATCCCCTTGCATTTATATCTAAGCGACGTGGAACGCACGGTTTCGCCCCAACCACTGTACATGCCCCCACAATATTCCCTGAGTCTGCTCACCTGAATGTGGCGACAACATTGGTAGTTGGCCAGCCCATAACGAAGGACGTCTCCAGTGACTTGTTCACCTCGATGACGTCATGCATGGCGACCCGGGTGAGCCACAGCTCAGAAACGCGAACCTTCTCCTTGAGCTTGAAGTGGCCGCCGGACCGCGCCTTGGCCACCAGCAACAGGTCGTTGAAGAGAAACAGGTGGCGCTCCTGGCTCTGCACTCCCTATAATAAGACACACGCTGAAACACCAGAGAGATGACGTTGCCCTCACACAAACCTCTTGGTAGCTTTCGGAAATTAAAGCCGTCGGAGGTCACTGCCACCTTGTGCTGAACGCGGCAGTCCATCTTCATCATCATAACCGGGTGGGTCAGCCACGTTTTCTGTTTGTAATCGCAGCCAGACGAAAATAAGCGACGAACCAGTCGATACAGAACGCTCCCTTCAACATCCGGGAGGCGCTGCGTTCTCAATTCCGCCCATCTGGGGGTCTCATAAGACAAATGTCGCGGGTTTGATTCCCACTCATGACAAAAACTGTCTTAAAGGGCTGCAGCGACAGGATGAGGGCGTGGTGGGGCTTTATTGAATTTCATAACACGCGTTGTCAAAGTTTCGTTTTAAACGATACTTCTCCACACATTACACAGAACGTCTCAGTATTAAGTACGTACAACTTCGGTTGCGGTGAATGACCCCCCCCCCCCCCCCCCAACATGAAATACACAATCTGAAAGAAAGTGAAACCATCACGACGTATTAATCCGCTGACATGCTACTTCCGTGCCAGCCAGCTAGGCCTAAGCGTAGTGCACCGAACACAGTTAGGTCTAAATAAATATATCTGTGACAGCGAAGCACAAAACATCACGACAGGCAATTCATAAAATTAAAGATACATTTCAGAATTGCGCTGTACAAATGAAGTGATTCCTCAGAACAGAGGGTGACAATGTTCACTTAACGCTGTTCGGTGTCCCCGATCCGACGAGACCATCTTTTACAAGGACGTCCAATGTTTCATCTCCCTATTGGTCATCAGTTAAGAACTGGTTTTATATCCCAGGCAGACGACGTTCTTTGTAAGGGGTTTACAATTGTTACTCTTCTGTCAGGGATTAGTGTCTTCCGGGTCATGAACACCGCCTACAAGACCATACGTCGTTGTATCACAAGACAAGAATATACATTTTCTCCGCCGTAAAACAATAAGTCCCAAACAGTCATGGATTAGGTTTAAAATGTTCCGACTCAGCCATATTTACCTTGCTCTTCCAACTGTTTTATCCTTCAAGAAGATTTCCCACGTCTCGTCATGACAAACGTCGTCTTTCCGTTTCTTAAGAACCACCGATTTCTTTGCTGTTGAATTTTATGATTTAAACAGAATAGTTTCCCGATTTTTATCTAAGACAGCCTTTAAGCTGCACCAGATGTCCATTCCGGTTTCCTGTCACTGACCAAGTCTCATTGCTGCAAACTAATGTTCCGCGTGTTGCAACCAACCGCTCAACGTCCTCTCTCTGTTTGTCGTCAATGAGCTGGCTGCTAGGCGACCAAAGCCATTTCATAATGAAAATGTGATCTATGTCCACTGCAGTTTCATTGCTCAGCAACCGTGAGAGCTATACCGCTCCATGTGCGCAAATAAAACAAATGACGTCAATGAAGATTTCTGTCTTCTGGGTTGTTGCGCCGTGCGATGAATTCATCGCCCTGGTGACGGTGGCAGTATGACCTCAGAACGTTGGTAAATATCGACCAGACTACACAGCGCAGCAACCCAGAAGACAGAAATCTTCATACTAACCGCTGTGAAAATCTCAAATCTTACAAATGACGTCAATGTTAACACGTATCCATTCCAGAGAAGCGATATCATTATCTGTAACTGCCTAGGAAAAGTGTTGTTGGCAAACTTTAACAGGAAAAGTTACTTATGTAGCGTCATACACGATACGCCACTGGCCTTCGATCTCTCTTCTTTGGGTGCGAGCATTTTAATCTCGTTCACTCAGTATTAACGGCCTGGAGTATCGCAACTCTAACCTCTTTCGCACGTGAATTGACCAACACGCCCGCAAGAGTGGACTCGACCAAGTTTCCAGCGTAGTACAAACTCAGGAGGCCTCCATAAAATAACTGGACTATGGCAGCCGAACAGAAAAGGGACGTGGCACGAGGTCCTGACACTTCGTTTCGGGGCATGAGATGACACATCCGACTGCGGTCCGCCATTCTATTGTTTTACTTGTGGGGGAAAATAGCAATAAGCAATCAAAATCAGCAAAATCTCTGTATATGACAATTTCGAATACATTATTTAACAAAAATAACAGCATAATTAACTACAGTAAACCTGGTCTTAGTTCTCACAACTAACCCACCAATAAACCGATTAAATACGCGTCCTCATGACGTAGGTTCATCTTGGGCAGTCAAATGGTCGAGAAATTCTCATCCTATAGAACCAGTAGTTTTTTTCCTGTAAGCCCTCCAATAGATTACGTATATCAGAAGTGCGATTAAGAGACTTAAAATGTCAAGATTTCTAGCCGTTTTGTGATCGCTTGTAAACAGCTAAAAACCAGAGGCAAGTACACATAAATGCAGCAAATGCTATTGACTCAAAGACCTCGCCGTAAAATGTTCAACAGGTAAAAACTGCGCCAATGGACCCTGTCCGCATTCAAAGACGATTTCTTTCAGTTCCAAGCGGTCTCTCCTTGTCTACGTCAGTGCACCAGAGTGCGTTATAGTCCCGGGCAATTCCCACTTACCGTCGTGAACTGGACTGGGGCTTCCATCAGGAACTGCCGCTTGTCTTGGAAGGAACGAGGCAAACCTTGCTCCCTGTTCCCTGGGCTCTGAGGGCTTGTCGGGTCCCCGGGACTGTCTCCAGCACCGGGTCTCTGGGCCTTGGCCGACAACGCCCTCTGCAGACGGGCGGCCGTCGTCGACCGCTTGCGGATCAGACCCTTCATCTTCTGCAAATAAACGACGCTCATGGGGTAAACGTAAACACGGCGCAAAACAATTTTTATATACGGCACAAATTATCTTCAATAAAATGCTTACTAAGACCAGAGCAATTTTTAGAAGCATTTCATATCTGCCCCACGCGTGCTACATGCCTCACTCGCTGTGTAAGGGTAAAATCGCTGTTTATTTTGCGAATCAGTTACTGACTGTTAAAACAGGTGGTACATATACTTACCACTGGGCTTCGAATGGTTCAGGCGAGAAAAGGCGTGCAAATAAGCGCCATACGTTCTCGGCCTTGCACTATATCAATCTATCGAAGGCCATCTTCACGCTCCGGCCCCCTTTATCTCAGCTACCCATTTAATAAGAGGCTGGAAAAGTCCCTAGAGATGTTCTGGGCAGAAGACACGTATTTTCGCACGTGGCTGTACACTTACCATTGTTATGACATCCCTGTCGTACAGTCTCAGACAGTCATTAGGGAACAGATCCTGAATTCTCTCCAAGTCACTTTCCTCTTGTCCGCGTTTCACCGCCTGTAACAAAAATAACACTTCCTGGGTTTAAATATCTGCAGCAAACTTTTTACGGATACGTGCTGACATTGCAGCTTAACTCTCTACTTCAGTGTATTGAAAAGAATACATTAACTCGTTGCAACCATCATAATACTTTACGATTATCAACTTAACACGTTTCGGTCCGTTACAGACCATCCTCAGGGGTCATAATAATTTGAACTAAATTACTGCAAGTTTTATATGCTCATTTCAACTTAAACTAAACATGGAGAAGCTGCTAGTCTATCAGCCAGTCAACCAAATCTCCGCATCTTAAGAAAACCAAAGATTCATTACCACATTCACAAGAACCCACTATCTTGAACCAGATAAATCAAGTCCACACCCTTACACCCTGTTTCCCAAAGACCCATTTAAATATCATCCCATCTACGCCGAGGTCTTCCCGAGTGGTCTTTTCCCTTGACACTTTCCAACCAACTTTTTCCAAGCAACTGTTTCACCTCCCACACGTGATCGTCCTAAAACTTCAATCTTTAAAATTCCAACATTTATAACTCTTCTCGCATTAATCCCACATTCGTACAAAAACAGCGTCATATTGCTATTAATTATTAACAATATAAATTCATTCTATCGACCTCTAACTTGTTCGTCACTTGCTTCTGATGAGATTTCTAGCTAGCACGGCGACGAGTATGAAGAATGAGACCTGACAAGCTCTTCTGGAACGTCGGTCAATATCTGTCAGATTACACAGCACATCATCCTAGAAGACAGCCGTCTTCATGCTCATATTTGATGGTTGTAAAAGAAACGTTTTCGTTAATGTTACCTGATTTCAACTGTAATGTGTGGCTCATTTTAGTAAAACTCCTTAGCAAAACATTTCATGAAAATCCGTTCAAAGGCCCTCGAATAGTCACATGCAGGAGGCCGGACGGAAAAACGCAGAGAAGTTAACAGTAGCATTTTTGCATCATTTCATTGCGAACACGCCAAAGAAAGATTTCTACCTGCCAGAAAGAACACCGTCTTTTCGTTACAAAGTTAAATCCCGTTATTGTTTACGGAAACTACTACTGTTTTCTGTGAGAACCAAACGAAACACAGCCCCCGCTCCCAAAATAACAGGTGGTACCTACAGTTACCACTAAAAATACAGAGCGTTGAATAAACCCAAAACATCAAGTCGCTATTGGGGGTAATTGGCTTGGGAAAAAATGGCTCTTACTCAAAATTCAAAATAATCTTCCTAACTAATTCGATGCTATGAAATCTTAGCAGTTGCAAAAACGTCGTTATTTATATATATAAACTGATTTACGTCGTCAGCTATGAAATGTATAGTCGTGCAGCGTAGTTATCTGTAGTAACGTTTTCAAGGTCAAGTGCGATACAGCTCTGAGCAAACACTGTTGCTAGTGGGATTTGACAGACGCTGAAGAACCTCAAGACGCGGTGAAAGTGTCCAACAGAACAATGGCAGGCTTCGTGTATCAGCTGGTTCCCACTTACACGGCAACTAATGTGCCCAGCTAAGTGAATTTCAGAAATTCAAAACTAGTTTCATGAAAAGAGCTTGCTGTTCGTTTTGTTAACTCATCAGGAAGTGTGTAGTTTACACAAGTGAGAACAGGATGTCCAATGAACAGGTAAAAGACGAGAAATATAAAGGAAAACTGAATGTATTCTGAGCATGGAGCCAAGTGAGACCAGGCGAACCTGAGACCTCAGGCCAAATGTCGAAGCTGCTGACACCTCCAGAAGTAGATACTGTGAGTGCAGTGGGATACAACTTTGTAAAATCTGATTACATCTGCCGTAGCGCCAGAGGACCACGAAGTGTGGCGTCTTGGGTGAGCGCAATGACCCCGTAGTGCCTGACAGCCTTGACAAATCACGTAATTCCATCAGATGCCTGTCACTCAGCACTAAACACTGCTGAGTGCTAAACGCTTTGTATACATATCGGCTGACGTAGGTTGTTTAACAACGCTAGATCAACCACACAAATTATTAGCATCCACCGAAACGATATGACAAAACAAGGTGAACTACCTATTTCAACGTACTATCCCGGCACGACCTGACACAACTATGTAAATCTTAAATCAGGTTAGACTTTGCTCGGATCTGTCAAGAGCAGAGGGATGTGGAAGGAAACGGTCGGCACTGTCTAGAGGCGTTCGAATCGTCGGACACCTCGCAGGTGTGACTTTGATGTTAATTTGTTCCGGATATAAAGCAAACATAACAAACAAACACACTGCTCCAAATTGTCGTGTTTATGCCAATACGCAACACAGGAATATCGAAAAAAGAAGTTGTAGATGTCATTCGCAAGGCGTAATCAGACGCTAATACGAACTGCTCCCACGCTAAGCGTTCCATAAGTTCCACCCAAGAGTCATTAGGTGTAGGTCACCCACACAAACTAAAACGGATCAAAACATTTTTAGTGTAGTTTACAGAGTAGCGATTTGTCCTTTGCATTTGAATTGTGTCATTTTAGATTATAACGCCATGCAATCTTGTACGTGGTTTGGAGGAAAGTATCTTTTCCATATCGAAGCCTGAAAAGGAAGGCGACAGGTTCCTTCGAAATGCGGGCAACCACATAAATGACTACATGGAATCACAGTCTCGAAGAACGCTATCTTTTCTTTTCTTTTCTTTTTACAGACGAGGTTCCCAACACTTATCCAGGGACGCCAATCAAGACGATGTACATTCCTGACTCACCTTAAAGGAAGATGTGACACAGAAAGACCCAAGCATGACCTCGTGCCATGCTAAACAAATGTTGACGTCAATGTAACTGTTGTCATGGTCGGTGAAATCTAGCTCAGTGCCGCGCTGTGCCACCGAATGACTACAACACTCTCTTCAGTTCCACGAGATGGAAGACAATGAATGTATTATCGTAACGTTGCTTGATGAATCGTTTACACATCGCGTTTTGAGATTATATAATCCGCTTTACGTCGCCTTGAGTGAGTCACGAGAAGATAGCTTACATGATAAGAACGGGGTTATCACTCCGTGGAACGCAGTTCCTCAGCAACTGATGAATTCCCAGCAAATTATGGCACACGAAATTTTATTCAAATGCTCAACGCCGTCTACAACTGGGCCCTATCCTGAAACTGATGGATGCAATTCACGTGCAAACACCCTATATTCTTCACAGCCATCGTAACACGGTGGTGTAGGACCTGGGGGGTTGCACTGGTAAGCGAATCAAAATGAATTTCTGCCGACACTTTGAGTGCATACTCGCAAAGTGATGTTCCATCAGAATCAGTTTCGATTCTACTGTATGTTGGAGATGTTATTTTGTTTTTCGAAACTATTAAAAGAAACACGTATCCTTAATTATCCACTTGTAGGGAGTTTCGTCTAACAGCAAATGCAGAGAAAACTACTACATCTATGTACGTTCATGTCTCAAGACGTCTGGACAAAATCGGGCACCTAAAATGTAGCCAAGTTCAAATATTTGGGAATGGCGATAAGAAATTAAAACTGCATCCACGATAAAATTAAGAACAGATTAAATTAAGGAAATGCTTACTATCATGACATTCATAATCTTCTGTGTTCCCGTCTGCTATCTAAAAACGTAAAATATAAATTGAGCTTGGAGAAATGATGAAAAGTAATAATTTGAAACGCCAAAACGTAGATACGAGGTAAATATTAAAGTAGGCGTTACAAAAATAGAACGTGATTTATCTGTCTCAGAACGGGAATCAGTGGCGGGTTCGTGTAAACGCGAAACTTCAAGTTCAACAAATGGCGGGTAATTGGACTCAGCTACTTTCAGTTTCTGAGAAACTCTGCTCAGTGGATTTAACAATTTTAAAAATGAAACATGTGGGCTAACATGACTCACCATTACAGGTTTGTTCATTTTGTACAGTCTGTGCAAAGAACGAGCGATCACAGAAGACGAGAAACGTGTGAAATATACGATACAGTTCAAACTGACACTGAACAAGTACAGACTACTAGAAAATAATCATTGTACAAATTGTGACGGATGTTCGTTGTATTTAGCGGAGGTCAGTGGAGCTCAGGGGGACGCCGAGAACAACCTGCTAACCTAACCTAACGTAACCTAACTCAACCTAACCTAACTTAACCAAACGTAATCTAACCTAAAGTAGCCTAACTCAACCTAACCTACCTTAACCCAACCTGTACTTCCAAATCACGAATTCAAAAACCGCGGAGAGAAGTTAGAAACGACACGAGCACGGCACCGCATCGCGACAGAAACTGCGATCAAATTAAACCTCCATTTCATAAACATGTTTTACTACCTGCTTTCGTTTCTTTGTTTGTTTCCTCATTCTATCCCACTTTTCTTCGTCGTTCAATCTGCCACTGAACTTCTCGGCTACGTTGTTGGCAATTCTGCTTCATATCCTGGGGTCAGGAATTCAAATCTGTCCAGAAACCAGCGATCTTCACTTACGTTTTTGTGGTTTACCTAAGTCTCTCCAGGCAAATGTCTATAACAGCGTCCTTTCATATCCTTTCCAAATCAGTGTTCATCAAACACCCCATAATTGGATGCGAAAGAGTCTGAGCAAATATCTTCGTCGGTAAAAACACCGCAAACAAACAAATCTACCCAATTTTGTCTTCAAAGTTCGCTTTCTATTAACTCCTTTGTTCTTGTAACTCTCCTCCATTTTCCGTCTCCCATTGTTTGTCCTTTCTCTTCAGCTGTTTCAAAAAGCTCGGCACACAAAATGTCTGCGCTGTCCGAAAGCTGCATTTGCATGGACGCATGCGGTCAGGGGGAGTTCCACCATCTGACGGTGCAGTGGACCGCCCCCTTATCGGGTGTCGACCGTCACAGCTGCTGAAATCAACACGATTTCTGGAATACAGTTTCAATACCTAATATAAACATAGCGCAATGGACGTGGGCCCTGAAGCCCCCATTACTCGTTCCAGGTACAGGTCAAAATTTACTATTCCGCATTATTTCTGCAAATTCACTAACGATAAATTATTAACGTCATTTAATGCAATAAGCCCAAAATTCGTGTGACTGCAAGTCACCCATTTTCTGAGAAAGGATTTTTTTTTTTTGGGGGGGTAATTGAACCTTCGGACTTCAAAATATGCGTGTAATTCCTTGACTAGGTGAGCAACTGTCAGGGTGTTGAATAACTCTACTCCACAGTCAGTAGTCTACACAAAATTAAAGAGAAGGCAGCCTCGATGCTGAATATGCTGTGTGACGAGATGGCTACCGCCATCTGCAGAACTGGTTTGTTGAAACCTACAAACCACGAATTAGCTATATCGCTCAAACTTAACGAGAATGTGAGGAGTTTAACGACACCGGAACTGACCGCATAAACCAGAAGCTTTGCCCGCGGTATGGAAAATAAACACACGCTTCAACGCTAGAATTATAAAACAGCGGGATAAAGAACAGCATAATTCGAGTGCACCCTCATACGAAAAAATGACAGCTAAGGTTGTGAAGTACAGGTTGGTAGTCAAGGGCTCCAGGCACCCCGCAGAAAAGGGGCCGAATTCTGCGACGCCTGACTTCCTACACGCGTATGAATAGTTTCATGTAAGTGAAACCCACCTGTCAGTAACAGTCAATGACTAACACGTATCTGAGCCACCTTCCTCTAAAAATATTCATCATTGAGATCATTTTCCTGGTGAATTTTCTGTCAGAGGAATGACAGTCATGTTACTGCCATCTGCATTACTAATCGAAATTAAATACCAAAGCAAGCAGCTGTAGGAGGGAGGCCTACTTGAGATATTGATAATCGCAGTCAGGCAAGAAATGGTCGCCTTTCATAGAACCAAAATGTTCATTGCCGTGTTAAGAGAAGCCCGCCACTAACCATATTCTAAACCAGAAAACTCCGGCAAATGCCTCAAATCCTGAATCTTTAAGAAACATTTTGATATTTTCCTCCCATTTACACCTATATACCTCAAATAATCTCATCCATTCAATTTTATTGGTAAAATTCTGAATGCCGCATGCATCATCAATCTCATCTTTCTTAATCACCATAACAGAATCTAATAAGAAGTATGGTCACAAATTACGAAGTTCTAAATTATGTAATTTTTTTGCACAAAATAAAAATCATTCTAAGGAGGGGCTAAGAAATACCATAAAGACCGACAACGTTTTACCGCAGATTCGAACAGGAACTTCTGAGCGTCTGAACGGCGCGCCTCGGTACCTGGAGGCAGTTCGCACATTTTTTTTTCCTGAACGACCTGTGGTTACACTCCAAGAAGCAAAGCGATGATGGTCACTGACATAACTGGATGTTACGCAGGTTCACTTCATTTTACAGGTAGTATTAATAGTAGCACCTAGCTATACTACTCATTATAACAACATCAGACTACTCTCAACACCTACCTGTTTGGCTTTCGCCTTTGCCCTGGAGATGTCCTCATGGTCATGTCGCGTCTCGCAGAGGATGGACTGGAAGTATTGCTCATACTGAGCCAGCCTTTGCACCTGAAACAGACAAGAACAGAAACTTATGACGTCTTCGTCTTTCATTCAAATCCTTCAGCCTTCACTGCGAGGCTACTAATAATTATACAATTTAAAAGTCTATTTCTGTGTATGATCACTCAACATAACAATGGTTCGCCATGTCTAAATATGCAGTCTTAAAAAAGATTTTTAACCAATACCAGATTTTCTGACAAGTGGCTCTAATGTCTCGCGCACCTCAAAGTCTCACAATAATCACACTGTAACCCACTACAGGTGGCATGATGCTGCTCTACGTATGTCTATTTTGGAAGTTCTGAAGCCACAAAGTACTTCATGTTACATACAACACGCAGACAAAAGTTTGAATTAGGACTGGTCCAATCAGAAGTAACTGAGGAAAAATAATGTAATCCTGAAAAGATGAAAACTCGAATTTACACACTAAGATACGGTATTTTCTACCAGCTGACACCTGGGCCTCAGGAGCTGTGTGCAGATCTGACAGCTTCACGCTCCTGCCGCTTTATTCCCGAGATAGAGCAGACAGTGGCCACTGGATATGAGGCTCGGTGCCGAACCACTAGACGCAGTGGTAACAAAGGGAAAAACTCGCGTATGTCCAGAATCGAACCCATGTTGCCAGTCTGTGAGCTCACGTTCAAGGCTTTCTGTGGGTAACAGGCAATTAGAGAGCACTGGAGAATTTTATAAAACACTATCGTGACTCCACTTCCAACTAACGGTCCTGATTTCATACCTTAATGAGTTGGTAATAAGTATTTCAGTTTCTTCCGCGTGTGTGTGTGTGGTCAAATCGTTTCGAAACGCGCAATGTCGTGATATCAATGGCGGTATAAATCCTTTACGCTTCGAGAAAACTCAGTTACTGTTAAACACGTTTTTTTTTAATATGCAGTACAGAACCCGAGAGACGAAAGTTTCAGGGGTGTTCACCGTCTTTGATCCTGACATACGCAGCATAACATTACAACCCAACTAGGATAATTTTTAAATATTATCCTTCCATCGAGAGTTGTCCCCACAATATTTATGTACGAGTTTTCTCTCCCAGCCCATTGCAACATCCTGTTAGCGAACACGCTGCCACCACGTAGCTAGCACGATCACAAGTACCTTGTCAACTGCCCACTTGCTTCATGCCACTTTAACACTGACAGCTGTTTCACTTCGCACTTTTTTCCAGACATTTATAACTTTACTTCTTCCCCCAAAGCAAGGGACCGCGGTTCACAACCACACAGCGTCACGATTTCAAAACACTGCTGCAAGTGTGAAACACACATAACTTTCTTGTTTTGCTGTTATTCGACGACGGCTTATCATCTGCTGTGGCTACAAAGACACTTTCGGATTTCTGATGGAGACAGCGGTCGTGGCCGATTTCAATTTATTATTGCATTCCTGAAACAGGCTGAGAAAACCGTAAAACGTGTAGGACAGGCTGTCATGGTTCGAGGTATCCTGATGCCAGTAGCAAGAACCTCTTCACTGTGATGACCCTAGAATCGAACCAGGTACCTCCGAAATGCAGCATGAGAACGTCACCTAGTTTGGGTAGTCGGAGAACACAAGAAACCGGCCACGACCGTTCACACTGTGCTGCTCCGCGAAGGTTCTGCTGTGCCCTGTTCGATGACCCCGCCTCGCCCCGCTCGCTGCATACCAAGGCGTTTCGCCACATGTGGAACAGATGGTTACGGGTTCTTCACCAACCGCGAATTCTTTCGCAGCATCCCTCTAAACTACCCTCCAGATGAAGCTGGTGGGTGTTGAATAAACAATGTACTAACACATTCTTTCCTCAGGCTACTGGACGACTTCTCATGAGAACTGAAGACAGAACTCAGAAGACCTGAAAATGTGGAGAAAACTTATTTTTCTTCATTTACTTTTCCTCCTAAACTGCTTCATTTTGTCCACAGAATTTATTAAAAAGTTTCATACGATTTTCAGAATTATATTTTTAAACACCATTAACCAATTGATCTACGTAATGGTAAAGTGTTGTTTTATTTGCGGTACGGACTGGATTCTTACTCAACATTTAGACGAGCTTCGTGATCAAGTGTTAACACGGCAGATTATGTATTCTTTGGTGAAACTAAAACCTAGACAAGAAACTTTTTTTAAGTAAATACTACCTTCATTTATGCGCGAATCAAAGCGAACCAATACATTTCATACACAATTTAATCAAAATCTACCATGTGATTCAGATGGACAAAACATCGGCCCGAAGAGACTGAGTCACACGCATAATTTGTGGACTGTACCACACCTGCAGGGTGCCAATTTTAATAAAGGAATGTAAAAAGCAGTCATTCCTTCGCCATATTTGGTACGTGAGGTCAAAAGTATTTCGTATAAGAAATACAGAAATCTGGCCTGTAAGCCAGTCGCTAGGAGATTTAGTTCTAATGTTTAATTGTCATTACACAAAAATCATGATATGTGTTAATCCGTCGGCCTTGTAACATCTGTGACTTATAAACAACACTACTAGAGGGAGAGAGAGAGAGAGAGCATTCGGCCAAGTTGAAGGTCATTTCAAAGTCGCCGACCGACCTGGAATGAAGTTTTCATCTGAAACCACAAGAGACGATAAAAGTTTTCAAGGATATTCTGCGTGTTCGTTAATCAAAAGAGAAAAAAACTTTGTTCCAAATTAAGAGTGTGTACAGTACCATACGCAGGGCTTCATACCGGCCAAGATAGGAATAGGATCCAAACATATCTTATCTATTTAAGATTCGTTTTAATAATATCCTTACAATTACGCTTAGATCTCCAAGCGGTCATGTGCGGTGCTAAAGTGCCCGTAGATGTTCCATAATTCAGAGTTAATTAAGGAAATGGATTTAAAGCCTACCTCATTCTAGTGTTTTAAATTATGAGAATAACATTCTGTAATCTTCAGAAGGGACTGACACGCCAATATGAAGGCAAAAACTTGGGAGACGTAAAAGTAGATGGTAGAACAATATTAAAGTCTGTCTTAGAGAAACAGGATATGGAAGTATTAACAGGACAGCTCTGGCCCAAACAGATGCAACAGCGGGATTTTGTGAACACGGAAATAAAATTTTTAATCAAACAAAGACAGCTAGTTTCTGACAAGCTTCCAGCATTCTGCAACAACAGTTTAGTCAAGGTAGCTGAGTGACAAGAGCATCGCGGACTGCGAGTTGCAAACACTGATCGAGGGAACAATCATTTATCGACAAAACACGACCAGCCGTGCATCCTGAGAGTTAGAAACAACGCCGGAGGCATGTATTGGGGTTTTCCAGATCATCCATGAAAAAATTGAATGACGGCAATTTGTAAACATTAACTGTGGAATCTGTATTGTAAAACCCACTAGATCTAACCCTTTGGACTTTTTAAAATGCGCCACTCCAATGACAAGTGCATTTCACACTCCACTGTTATCATATAGTATGTTACTTCTTCGCCACAGACGAAAGAATTCATCGGTCGGAACAGTTGATTCTGTAATGGCGCCATAACGTAGTAGAAAGATATGATTTTTAGAGCGTCCTCCATTAGACTGACACAGCCTGTACTGAGCCACCTCATACTTCAGTCCAAGTTTTATACGTTCTTTTATTCACCTTATTTTCCTACTCTTAGTTTCTTATTCTTCTTCTCCTTTGGTATACTCCCTTGTTTTTATTACATAGTTGTGTTCGACACACGCCGGTTGCTTGGTAACCCGAACCTATAGACTCAGTGGGAATGCAGTTAATATCCCAGTGGGCCTTGCTTCTAGTTATTTTCTTTGTTTCAACAGGCACAACAAACTAATGGACCCATAAACAGACGAGACAAACCTCTGCATCAGTAACAGTAGTCGCACGTAGCAATCCGTTGTACCATGGCTAGAGATCGGTGAATTTGGTAGAGTTCACGGGCATGATGGCAACTGCCATAAGCTCGCAGTTGCACACTGCGTTCATTCTAGTTGCATTGACCGCTACAAGTTTATAAACAAATTACAATCTTCGACTTTGAGCAGACGCACAATATTAGTAGCAGCATGTTCAGGACAAATGTTGGACCCATGAAACATATTTTTGTTTTGTAAGCTCTGCATAGAAATAAAGCTATTTTAGTGTATTTAGGATGTTTTGAGCGAAGTAAACAGACGATGAGATAAAAATGCTGTTCACAATCATACGCCGGTCCACAAGTTTAATCATGCAGCGTGATTGTAAGCCCACTGTAGGAGCCAGGCATGAAGCGGGCCTTATCCAACAGGAAGTCGAAATAATATCGATCCTTGACCACAGTTCGACTATGTCTGCTCACGTAAGTGTCCTTCCGCTTTATCTGATAGGCATATGTGACGTCATCCAGGGGCACAGTTAGACTCTACACCCACGAAAATTGGTATAGGACGGGAGATGTATAAAATATGATAAACAGGGCACAGAAAGGTCTGACAACTTCAATCAAGTCGGCAGGAAATGACGTTAACATACATAGGTGCACATATAAAATAAAACATTGACCTGTTTTAATATATGCTGCGATATTTCAATGCAAACGTTGTGTCAGAGCAGTGTATCGGAACCGAAGTGCCGCCATAAGACTACAGGTGTGGCGAATGTTGGTAACAAATTGCATATTCGCAAGTTAAAGTTGAAAAAGGCAATATTTTTTAATGATTAATATTCTTAATACACACACGCCACACAGATTCATCATCGACAATTGAATTCAACATTTAGTAATGCTTTGTTTTCATGTCTGATTTCTTATATGGAAAGTATTTATATGTAGACAAACATCTATGAGGTTTCGCGCCCTATTTTCGTGAGGCGACATTTTGTGATGTCGTCGTCATGTGTTTTTGAAAAAATTATGGGGGTGCCGCGGGTGGAAAAATGTTCCGTAACACTGTGTCAGGACAAAATATTAAAAATAATATTAGATCACCGTACTTTCAACTCTGAACACGATGGTAAATTAACCTTCCACGTTCGTGATCG